GTCGACCAGGAAGGGAGGTTTTAGTGATGAGGGAAAGAAGTTGTGGGGCTTTCATTATAACGATTCTGGTTTAGACCTTTCCCATTTATTTGATTTTGAATCTAAAAACCCGTGTATTTAACTATTGTTTGGCTCTTTTCCATCTTGTTGCTTGTTAAGTTTAGCTATTGGAGTTTTGGTTGTGTTTTCGATAGGTTGGGAAGTTAATTTTTCAAAGTGTTGTTCATATTTTTGCCTGTTCGCTCGAGCGATACTTCTTGCGTTTGAGCGGTCTATTATAGTCTGTAAACTACTGAGAATGTGATATCTACACTCAAGTGATCTTTTGCAGTTTGCAAAACTACTAAGAGAGAGTCATTGTGTGCTTGAGCGGTGGTTTTGGTCGCTTGAGTGGTGTCACTTATCGTGTTTGTTCACTCGAGCGATGTTTTGGTTGCTAGAGTGGTTTGTGCGTATATTAGTGCGAGAGGAAGGCTTTTTGGATCACTTTTTCATCTCTTTCTCACTCTAAATGTTTCAAAACCCTAGATCTACATACTCTCTCTCTAGTTCTTGACCTCTAGCTCCAAATACTCTAAATTCGTAAGTTTTCTCACCCTACTCCTTTGGAGAAAAACGTTGAACACGACGAGGGTTTTGTTTTAATCGAGGAAGTTTATATTTTTGGCTCTATTAAGTTCTACCCATCGTTTCTTCGTGTCTTCTACTTTGAGGTAGGAATTGCTTTGACTCTTTTATATGGTTTTTAACTTAGTTATTTGCTCTTTGAAAATGTTGTTAATTTGAGAAATTTTGGAAAAAACTTAGGGTTTAGATTTGAAATCAAAAGAGGGGTTTTCCAAATAGACTCTTGAAAATGGTTGTAGGGATGTATTTATGAATGAGATATGTTAAGATGGTGGATATTTCTACTTGAAATAGATTTTGTAAAACAAAGAAAGTTTGCCTTAGATTTTGGATATTGGAATTATGAAAGGAAATGGAAAAATGATGTTGGGTATTGTGAAATTGGAACAATATTTATATTGATGACGATAGTGGAGTTAGATATGTAATATCACCCCGTTGTAATTAATGAAATTGTATTTTTTTGATTGAAAATTATTTTTTGAATAGAAATATTTGTTTTTGGCTATCGATGGAGGGTAGTCTTGATTGTCATAGAAATTGCATGATTAGGTTGAATTAAAACAAATTTCTCATAATTGTGCATTGAGCATCATTTAATTTTGAACATTGTAAATGTGTTGATTTTTGAGAAAAATGGGTGAATATCGTGATGAATCTGGTTAGGGAATGTGGTTGTGGTTTTATTATATTAGCCTGTGTGTCCTTGGTAAAAGTCCAGAAACTTGAGCGGTTAGGTACTGATCCTTCCTGTTAGTACCGGTAGAATGACTTTGATAGTACTTGTATAGCCTACTGACAGACACGTATCTAGAGATTCCTAGTGTTTTGTATCGACTGCCCTGGTTTCTGTCATAAAAGGATTACTATCATGAATTGAATTATAATTTGGTATAGTATTGTTTTGAGATAGAAAACGAGAAAAATGTTTGATAAATGGCATACATGTGCATTCACCTTATAATTTTGCTAAAATTCATATACTTCATTAGAGCATCTCTATTGGGCTGTGGCTCACCCTTTGTGAAAAATAACTTTCAGGTACTGATGATATGCCTCCGCTAAAGACGTAGCTTGGGAGGACTTGGGGCTTAAGGCTTCATTTTTGGTTTATTGATATAATTATTTTGTTTAAGCTCAGGGCTTTACCTGTATTAAGTTTAAAATCATTTTGTTGTAAGCAAGTATCGTCTTGAAAAGTTGTAGCCATTAAGACATTTCATTACTTGTTTTCCTTTTATTTCTCTTTTTACTTTTGTATCTATGCCATATACTATAGATTCGGAATCTAGGATTTGTGAATATACATTGCATATGTCATCTTTTGTAATGGACAAAAATATAATGAATAAAAGATATAAGATTCTTGATCAACTGTAGCACTGTTATGAGATGAGTTAATGTTAATTATTTCGGGGTGTTACATTCATGGTGGTGAGCGAAAGAATAGGTATGGTAACAGCGAGGTTGCTTTGAGATGTCAAGGATTATTTGGAAGAGGTGTCCAACATGATGATAGTTGTGACAAAAAGAGGTTAAAGTGTAGTCGCACCAATAATAAATAATCACATATAAAATTGTCATCTCATAAATCAAAATTTCATATTGTAATAATTTTTCTATCTTTCTACTTTGTTAGAATTTTATAATTTATTTTTGGGCATTCGGTTCAAAAATCCAAATTCAAATTTCTTTTGCCTAAGCATTCAGACGCGAAATTATTGAAACATAGACATCCCAAAACCCTCTTTGTCTCTTCAGCTCCTCTCTGTCTCTTTAGCTCCTTTCTCTCTCTCTCTCTCTCTCCAAACTTCTCAGATCTCAAAATCTATCTCTCTTCCTATTTCTCTCTCTCCTCTGTCACCGAAAGTAGCATCTTTACTACTGACAGCAACTTTCCACTGTCGCCTCGCTTTCATCGTTGCGCTGCCTCTGATCTTAGATCTCAGATCTTCTCTCTGATCTCAACCAACCGTGGTGCCTCTGTCTTCCACCGTCGAGAGCTTTAGCGACGGATGGCATAGATTTGAGAAGTCTAACCATTGTCTTTCACACCAGGGATCCTTTTTCTCAACTAGGGTTTCGATCTCATCAAAACACCATTCCTCCGATCTATAAGGGCTACAAAGATGTCAACGTCTGGTCCACATTCGTCTCCGGCACCGCCGTGTCATGGCGCTGTACAGTGACGTTGCTTTCAGCTAAGATCAAGTTGTCAACTTTGCTCACATCAATTGTCTTTGTAAGAGTAATCTTGAAAATGTGATAAATGATGCAATGGATGCCAAGGATAGTTTATAGAGTAATTTTGAAAATGTAAGCCACTACTATAGAATATAGTATTATGTATTATTTTGAATGCTAGGATTAGGCCGTCGATGTTGCTCACAGCAATTGTCTTTCTAAGAAAGATTAAAGGCTAAATTTGAATTTGTTTATGTTTTGTTTCATGTTGCCACTGATATATATATATATATAAAGATATCAATAGATAGATATAGAAGAGGCTGTGATGATATTGATTTTTCTTTGGGTTAGATCTAGATCTATGGAGATTCAGATCATATCTTTATTTATTTATTTATTTATTAAGTTGTTGGTTGTTGTTGTTGTTGTTGTTGATAATGATTAGGGATGGCAATTTAAACTCGGCCCGACGGGGACCCGACCCCCCGATCCCGAATAACACGATTTTTCCTCGAAAATTATCCCCATAAGGCCGGGGACAGTATAAAATTTAAATCCCTGATAATTTTCGGGCCGGGGACGGGGATAGGTTTTTCGGCCCCGAAGCCGCCTCGGCCCCGGCCCCGAATGAGCCCCGTACATCTCTCGTATATATTATATATAAAATATATTTCTAAATATCATTTTATTCTCTCACTCTCACTGTTGAATCTTCATTCCACTCACTCATTCTCTCTCTCTACCAATCCTCTCTCTCTCTCTCCCCCTCCACCGCCGATCTTCGTCAGTCACCACTCTCTCCTCCACCGCCGATCTTCTTCACTACCGATCTCCTCTCTCTCAGTGTCTCTCTCTCTCTCTAGCACCGCTCCTCCACCGCCCTCCTCAACTCTCTCACTCGTATCTTCTCTCTCGACTCTCTCACTGTCTTCACTCTCTCGTTCTCACCTCTCACTCTCTCTCAACGTTCTTCTCTCTCTCTCTCTCTCTCTCTCTCTCTCTCAGCTCTCTCACAGTCACGGGGACATCACCGCCACCACCGCTGGCCCCGCCACAGCCACCGTCGATCTCGCCAACACCGTCGATCTATTAGATCTGTCCTCTCTCTCCCTCTCTGATCTGATGTTGTTGTTGTTGATCTGTACTCAGATCTGATCTGTGTTGTTCAGAATAATTTTTTTTAATTTGTTTAATTATCTGTATTGTTCAAAATTGATTTGTATTGTTCACAAAATTGATCTGTACTCAGATCTGGTTTGTTGATTTGTGATATTATATTGATTAGTCAGTGTTTTGTTGAACAAAATTCAAAAAAAAAAAAAAAAGTCTGGGGATATTTCGGGGTCAGGGAAACCCGATCCCCGTTAGGGGACGGGGACGGGAGGGTGATGGGCTCCCCCGCCGGTGATGGGCTCCCCCGCCGGGGATCGGGGGCGGGGGCGGGGATTTTGATGGCTTCGGGGATCGGGGACGGGGAGGGTGGGCCCCGGCCCCGCCCCGTCCCGTTGCCATTCCTAATGATGATGATATAAATGTATATGTAATTGTTGTTGTTGATGATGAACAAGTAGAAAAAACAGATAAGATTTATGTGTTTTGAATTTAAACAGATCTATATGATGAATTTCAACAGGTAGGAAACTTAGAACTAGAATTCAAACAGATATGAAAAAAAAAAGACAATAATTTCAACATATAGAAAAATTAGAATAAGAATTGTAACAAAGATTTGAACAAATAAAAAATAAATAAATAGATAGATAGAATTTAGAGGAAAAATTTGAACAAGTAGACAAAATATTTGAACAAATACACAAAAAAATTTGAACAGATAACAAATAATTTGAATAGATAGAAGAAAATTTTGACAGCTAGTCAACAAAAAGTCAAACAGACAAAAAAAAGTCAAGGGATAAAATTGGAAAAAAATATCCTCAAAGATTTTTCACCAAACTATTTCACAAAGTGTGGATCTCTCACCAACAAAAAATATTCATTGAACCTAATATCTTATACCCTCTTTAAATTAGATTTATCATCAATTTTCTCTTTATTTTTTACTATTTCGTAATTTTCTCTTCCTTCGCTTTTCTTTATTTTCCTTTTTTAAAAAAGAAAAATTTAAATTAATTTCCTTTTTTTTTTTTAAACTTCTAAGCCAAACGCCCCCGACAAATACTTGTACTCAACATAAAAACTCCCCCAACTTCTCTCCTCTGCTTATGCCTACCTGTCTTCTCTCTCTATTTTCTCTCTCTAAAAAAAAAGAACAAGGAACAAGACAAAGCCACTACTTTGATACCCTCGTCAGATCATTTCACATTTCAGCACAAACCAGACCCGAAAATGCCGCAGCAGAGAAGCCAAAGCAGAAGAAGAAGAACAATCACACACCACACCTCCTAATAGCTTGCACACTCCACACACACACATACACATATATATAAATGAGGTGTAAGAAACACCTTACCGATCTCAGTAGCAGCGTCGGTGTCTGCGGTTCTTGTCTCCGGGAACGACTCTTTGCCCTAATCGCAGCTCAAGCACAAGTCCAATCTCAAATTCGAGCTCAACAATTCCATCTCGAACAAGAAGATCGCCGGAAAACTGATCCTCTTCCACCGCCTCTCGTTTTCCCTCGCTCTGCATCGCCGTACGTCTGTCGCCGTGAATCTAGAATCTCCGGCCACCACCACCACTCGCTGTCCGATCAGTTGTTCTACAGTACTCCGCAAATTGGCCCCACTGGTACTATAAACTCGAGCAAGAAGAAGAAGACTAGGTTCTCTCTCTTCGCGAGATTGTTCAGATCCAAATCGAAGAAGACGGACTCGGATCCTTGCGTTTCAGATTCCAATCGGAATTCGTGTACGGCGTCATCGTCGTCGCCGTCGTGGTTCTCCACTATGCTCGCCGGAAACCAGAAAAAGCAACCGCGGTTGTTCTCTCTCGACGAATCGAACTCCGGATTTGGCCGGAGAACCGCAAGGTACAGAGATCGGGGAATGTCGCCGGCGAGAGTTTCGGACTACGCCGGCGACGAAGAAGAATGCTACGACGGATCGAGCGGTTACTCGTCGGAGTCATCGCAGGGGTGGAGGCAGACGCCCCGGAGGGCGGCGATACCGGTACGGCGAGGCGGCGGAGGTGGTTCTCGGCCGAGTCACTCCCGGAACATGTCCGGATTGGCATTCTGTTTGAGTCCGTTGGTGCGTGCGAGTCCGAATCGGCAGTGGAACCAGAAGGGAATGCCGCCAGAGAATGCGTTTTCCGGCGAGATTAGGGCTCCGGTGAAGCCTCACCTGTCGACGGCGGCGTCGTTCTGCGCGAACAGATCGAGAAAGCTAGCCGACTTCGGAAGATTCAATCACAACCGCTGATAGCGACTACGGTTGACCACGACCACCGCGACGGTGATGATGCTGATGGATGACATACGACTTAAAAGTACGGTTTTGCCCTTGTTGTTTTGCCATTTTTTTTCACTTCCAAGTCCTCTGTATACTTCGGTCTTAAAAGTTAAAATACGTGAGGTTAAAACCAAATCCAAATATTTCTGATTTTTGTTTTTTTTGTATTTGTAAGATTAAAATTTCTGATTTTTTTTTGTATTTGTAAAATTGTTAATCTGATGTTGATTTGAGATTGAAATTACGTAAAGACCCTCGTGGTAAATGCTCCCCATGTGCAGTACGGCTATAAGATAGGTGGGGGCATTGGGTTGAAATCTTGATAAAGGGTTGAGGTGGGGCCACGTGTAAACTTGATGGCTGTGAGATTAGGAGAGGCAGTTGGGTGTTAATTGATGTGAAGCAATCTCGTCCGTCAGTTGTGTTGAACATTTATTGTTGGGAACATGTTAGGTAAATGATATTTTGACTGTTTCACCATTATTTGGATTTCACACAATGAGATTGTTTAGTGCAACCTAATGAACTGTTTATTAAAAAAAAAATTGGTGTATTCTAGTTTGTTGTTTGATAGAGATTTTACTTACAATTTATTACATAGAAATAACTTTAAAATGTTGTAAAAATGTTTAATATTTAAAATTTGGAGATGATATTTTGATTTTTAATTTTTTGATTATTAGTTTTTAGGTCTATTTTAGAAAGTGGGTTATAATCCGCTTCTCAGATTATAACTATTTATTCTCTCACAAAAAAGCTGCTTATAAGCAGTTTTTTACCAAAAAACTGATTATAACTATCTTTCCAGGCTCAATAAAGCCTTCGTTTGAGACCTGGGTTGGTTTTTTAGTTTTTTGATTTTTTAGTTATTTTAGCCTCGGATTAAAAAGCTTTGTTTGGGATAGATTTTTTGACTTTTATAAGAGAAAAAATGAAATGATTTTGGTTTTTTGACTTTTATTGAGCAAAAAAATCTATTTTATTTTTTTATGACTAAAATAACTTCACAACCCAAACTTTCATACCAAACATAGCCAAAATACTAGCCATGGATGGGTTAAAAACATCTTAGGTGAAATAATCATTCTGATTTATAAAATTATTAAGGGAAGGATAAATTAACAATTAATTTTATTTTAATTTTTAATGTGACCTTTGATTTTTAATTTTTCTATGTCAATATTTTAACTTTGTTCATGTGATCATTGATCATTGAACTTTAAAATCATTCTGATTTTAAAAAAAAAAAAAATTAATGTGACGTTTGAATTTTAATTTTTCTATTTCAATATTTTAACTTTGTTAATATGATCATTGAACTTTAAAATCTTTTTATGTTTAAGGAAATTAGCCCAGACCCCCAACCCCAGTGAAGTGTGATTGATTTATATTTTTTTATATTTATTTATTTATTTATTTGATCCAATGGCAATCCGCACGTGTTTAGACTCTTCGACTTTAATAATTAAGCCATTATAGTCAAATATGGTAAGAAAGATATCAAAAATATTGGAGCTGGAGAAGCATCTGTTCAAACGGCCAAAATCAAATAGGCCGAACCAATCTACTATAGGATAGAGAGTTTCAACAGTCCAAACAGATGGACGTAGATGTATCTTTTCCAATTTTAAGTTCGAACGGATAGTAAATGAGAGGTTATTCATCCCAACTTAATTTGTTCATACCTTAAGAAAATAATATTATGCTTTTCAACCGTGCTGGGACCCCTAGCACCCCCAGCTCCACGTGGGGGGCTGTGCTCTCAAGACGAAAAAAAAAAAAAATTCAATCAATCAAAAAACAGTGGGGGTGGTGGAGGTCATCCCCACTGAGAGTCCAAGGCATTTCTCTATACTTTTACACATGATGTGTTAAAAAAAATCTTTTTATTTAATAATTATATTTTTTATTTATAAAATATAAAAGTTTGATCTTTATTTTTATTATAAAATTTGAAAAACAAAAAATCTTAGGCCCAAAATAGTAAAGAATCATTAGAAAATCAATTAAAAAAAAATAAAAATTCCAAAATAGTAAAGTCCAAATCGCCAATCTGATTCAGGCAATCTGATTCATATCCACCTGTCAACTTATACGGTTTACTCAATCTGCATCTGCTAACTAAGAAAACAAATACAAATTAATTTTTTCTAATCTAAGTTTGGTCGGATGGCGAATGAAAAACTTTCAAACTTAACCTGATTCGAGAGCATTCCTAAAAAATATTATAAAAAAATTCTTCTAAATACTCGTATGAAAATGGATCCGTACTCATGTGAGAGTTTGGTAAATTTTTTAGTAGCATATTTAAGATTTCTTGTATTTTTTATCCGTTAATAGATGTGAAAAATTCTATGATCCATTAATATTATATTAGGAACAATGATTATAAGGGATAAGAGTGAAAAAATGTAAATAAGAAATAAATAAAATAAAAATAAATATGAAGTATAATATTTTAATATTTTAAAAATATTATATTTTGAATAATAAAATTATTTATATATGATATACATACTAATATATTTAAAAATATTTAATTTGAATGATAGCCAATCACATCATCTAAGAAATCTAAGAAGACAAATAGGTCCATATCTTAATATAAATAAAGCCTCCGCTCCTCCGTTGGGTTGGCTTTTTGGCTTTTTGGCTTTTTTGGCTATTTTAGCCTGGGCTAAAAAGCTTGGTTTGGGAAGGGCTTTTTGGCTTTTTGACTTTTTTAACTTTTTTTGTGAGAGAAGAATGTAATGATTATGGGTTGGATGTGATGTTTTGTTTGTTATGGCTAAAATAACCTATTTTATTTTTTGTGGCTAAAATAGCCAAAAAAGCCTGAAAACTAACTTGCCAAACAGAGGCAAAATAAACTAAATTTGACAAATATATATATATATATATATATGTATATGTATATAAAGTGATTTTGGAGGAATATTTTATATTGCTTACTCTGAGGTGGTTGAGGGAAGAGGATATTTTCATCGCTACTAATTGAATCTAATCACAAGTTTTCCTACGACATGTGAATATTTTGCTGTATTTGGGTGGTGTTTAGCGAGTGGTTTGGGGCTAAAATAGTAATAAAAAATAATATAGGTTATTTTAGTCATAAAAAATAAAACATCATTTTCAACCCATAATTATTACATTTTTCTCTTACAAAAAAAGTCAAAAAATCAAAAAATCAAAAAGCCAAAAAGTCCTTCCCAAACTAAGTTTTTTAGCTCAGACTAAGCCTATGTTTGGCAAGAAGGTTTGGGTGAGTTTGGGGCTAAAATAGCCACAAAAAACAAAATAGGCTATTTTAGCCACAAAAAACAAAACATCAAATCCAACCCCTAATCATTACAATCCCCTCTCACAAAAAAAGCCAAAAAAGCCAAAAAGCCCTTCCCAAACCAGGCTAAAATAGCCCAGGCTAAAATAGCCAAAAAGTCAAAAAGCCAAAAAGCCAACCCACTTCCCAAACGGAGGCTAAAATAACTAAAAAAGTCAAAAAGTCAACCCACTTCCCAAACGGAAACTTAATGTAAAGAGATATATACTACATGAAAGTACAAAGATAGAGATGTATTGATCTCTTATTTCTTACTTAATTCTCCCCTAGTGAATCCTAAAAGCAAAAGAAGTCGTTATGATTCAAGATTAGTGAGTTACGATGATGTTATATGCACTAATTAATATACTAACTAGTATATCAATTGATGAATATGTGACTAATTATTGGTACACTAATTAATATATTAATTGGTGCATATAACATTATTCAGCGAGTTATTTTAAACATTATTATATAAATTAATAATTATCAAATTAATCACAAAATGAAACCTGAGTTGAATTTCATATTAATGAATGTTTGACTAGTAAATATTTTTTTATTTAGTGCAAAATAATGAAATTTATGAACTTCAATACACTTTATGTTTAGATCATTCACATCTTGTTGCACATTCATATTTTGCCCTGAGGAGAGTTTTTCTCAAATTTAAATATAAATTTTAGATAATTTAAGGAACGTGGGGCCATCATGGTCTAGTTTGGGGTTTGGAGGGATTGTCGTGTAGCGGCACAACAGTTGACAGTCACTGCTGTGCAACAAAATGAGCTCATTTTGGGACTTATTTCGATAATATAAACTGTTCATATTTTAAAATATATTAAGTAAAATATGTTTGTAAAAAATCAAATTAATTGAATATCATTTATTCATTCATCTACTCACATTTGTATTTATTTTAATATTTTAAATCACAATGTAAGTGGATGAATAGATAAACAATATCCGATTAATTTTATTTTTTACAAGGATGTTTTACTTGATATATTCTAAAATGTGAACAGTTCGAATTATTAAAATAAGCCTCATTTCGCTGCATAACAGTGGCTGCTATGCGCACCCCAAACCCGTGTTCTGATGATTCATATAATTTATTTTGTAAGGCAATTTGTGTATTATCTACAAAAAATAAATAAATAAATAAAAAATCAATCTAATTGTTCTCTCCTCTGTTTGATTTCACACTCCATTATTTTTATTTATTTTCTCCAACCCACTTTCCTTATTTCCCCCATCTTTCATTTTTGATTTCAAATATATTTTTATTATTTTTCTTTCCCATTATTTTTAATCTCTTTCCAATTCCATTCATCCCATATAGCTTTGCACACCAACCATATTTTATTCATCTCCGGGATCAACCCCGATCACACTTTTACACACACAAAAAAAAAAAAAAAAAAAAAAAAATAGCATATCAAATAAAATTTAAAAAGTTAATTTATATTATAATATTTTTTCAAAACCCTCCATATATGTATTGTGGCATGTTTTGACAAGAAAATTGTTTGAGATCACTAAAACAATGAGCTCTAATAGCTTTAAAAATACTGTGCCCCTAATTGATTTGATGTTTTGCTCTTTGTTTTTTTTATTTTTTTATTTTCTGGACTGCCAACTCATTAGAGCTGGCTTAGTGGTCCATTTTTAGTGGGATCTATCACCACTGCAAGATAAATATTACATCAAAGTTTGTCTGGCTTGAATCTTAATGAAGCTTGTCTTTTCCATACATGTATTGTAGCATATTTTGACAATTAGAAAAAAAAAAAATTATTAATTTATTTATGTCATATCATCTCTTTATTTTTTATATATTTTTTTTAAAAATTAAAAAATTAACTTTTTCTACAAAATTTGTCACTTCATTCAAGAAATTATAAAGAAAAAAATACTCTAATATGGGTGGGACCAAGGTGAACTTCAGTGGGCCAGAGCAAAAGTGGGGCTGACCAGATAGATCTTAAATGGACGATCAGAAAAGTAGGTCACACACACAGAAGCGCAATCTAGTGGTCCAGCTTTCTAGGAAAAAGGATTCAGTACGGTCAATGCTTTTGTTTATTACTGTTATAACGGTTATATGTTTAAAAAAAGCTTGAAGTGATCGATTTTGATTTATGACCCCGCCCCCCACTT